AAAAAAAAAAAAAAAAAAACAAGCTGTTTAGGGTTTTCTGTTTCGGTGTGTTTTTGTGATTGAACCAGTTGGATCTGAGGTTTATCTCGTGATTTTGGTTCATCTTTGCATGATAAAGTTTATCGTATGTTGGTTAATGAAGATTTGTGTTTTGTGTGCATCACATGTTGGGGGTTTTAAACGCTTCGTCCAGATTTTACTTGGGTTTTTTTTTTTTTTTGATGGATTGCTTATGTAAAGTATTGTTTCTGGCAGTAAGGGTGTACTTGTTTGGAACTCCGTTTCAGTTTGATTTAGTGTTTTCACTTTGACACTGATCATTTAGGATATAACAAACAATTATCACTTGTTTGCTGGTTAAGAGTTGTTCCTCCTACTTGGTTAGACAAAAAATAGTTAAATACGTGATGTTCTGTGGCATGATTTGTGAGCACTGCATCACTAGATTTGTGTTCTCTTGTTCTTATTTCATAAATTGATGTTGTTGGGGTGAGTTTTTTTAGTTTTATTTATTTATTTCTTAAAAATCTTTGTTGATTTTCTGGATTAGTTTCAACAATGGTGAGAAAGAGGCGAACCGATCTTCCTGGGGCTGGTGAGAGCTCTGAGTCTCAGCAATCTGGTGGACAGCAAGGCCCGGAGCAATTCCCTCCCATCCAGCAATCATTCCAGCAGCCTCAACAACAAGGAGGTTATCAAGGAGGAGGAAGAGGCAGGGGCTCACGTGGGGGATATGGTGGCCGTGGTGGTGGAGGTGGCAGATTTCCCCAGCAACAGTATCATGGGGGAGCTTCTGAGTATCAGCAGGGTGGGCCTCAGTACCCGAGAGGAGGGCCACCTGTCCAGCACCGAGGTGGATATGCCAGAGGCGGGCCACCCAGGCAACCAGCTCCCGAGCTGCACCAAGCTACCAGTTCTCCGCACCAAGGGGCAGGTCCATCTCAACCAAATCCATACAGGAGGCCTGCTGAAGCACATCCTGGCGCTGGGGTGACTTCTCAACAACCACAAGAGCCATCCGCCTCTGCAGTGTCGGAGCAAATTCAGCACCTCTCTTTGCAGCCAGAGGTGAACCCGAGCCAAGAAATGCAACCGGCTTCGAGCAAGTCCATGAGGTTTCCATTGAGGCCAGGCAAGGGTAACAATGGCATCAAGTGTATTGTGAAGGCTAACCACTTTCTTGCCCAGCTTCCTGACAAGGACTTGCATCAATATGATGTGAGTTGCCTCTCTTCGAGCCTTATATTTTATATTGTTTGCCTCTGGAGATTTATTGCGGTGATTTTGTTATGTATGTGCTCGATTGAGTATTATTGACTTTTCATGTGCCGTGGGTAATAGGTGTCCATTACACCAGAAGTTTCATCCCGTGGAGTAAATCGTGCTGTTATAAAGGAATTAGTGGGTCTATACAAGGAGTCCCTTCTTGGAAATAGGCTACCTGTCTATGATGGTAGGAAGAGTCTATATACTGCCGGGGCTCTACCTTTTGCATCAAAGGATTTCAGAATTACCCTCACCGATGAAGAAGAGGGGCCGGGGGGTCTCAGGTTTTCTTCAACCCCTTTCTGGCGTGATATTTGTTTTACATAAATGAACTTGCGTTTTTACTTATAACCTATGGTTTTTGATATGTTTTGCAGGAGGGAAAGAGAGTTTAGGGTGGTGATCAAGTTTGCCGCGCAGGCCGACTTACATCATCTAGGCATGTTCTTACAGGGGAGGCAAGCTGATGCGCCTCAAGAAGCCCTCCAGGTTTTGGACATAGTTCTGCGTGAACTGCCTACCAGCAGGTATGTTATGATGCACTTATAACTGTTAAAGTTGTTTTAAACATTCGTCTATGCTTTTTACTAATTATTCTCGTACTTGTAGATTGTGCCCAGTTGGTCGCTCCTTCTATTCCCCTAATGTAGGCTCGAAGCAGCCACTTGGTGAAGGGCTTGAAAGTTGGCGTGGTTTTTACCAGAGCCTGCGCCCCACTCAGATGGGGCTGTCACTAAATATTGGTGAGCTAGTTATTCTCTTTGTGGTTATCTGGATTCTTATTTGTTTCTTTTAATGGCTGTTTGCTCACTGATGCATCCTGCTAAGTTTAGATAACAAGTGTTTTCACCTTAAATTCTGTTCTTGATGGAGCAGATATGTCTTCCACTGCTTTCATTGAGCCGCTCCCAGTGATTGATTTTGTAGTCCAACTTCTGAACAGGGATGTCTCAGCTAGACCTTTGTCTGATGCTGACCGTGTGAAGGTTTGCTACTTTGCTCATCTTGTCAGCTTGGTGTTATGTACTAAAATATCTTTTATGGTTTCATTGTTTTACCAAAATAAGAATAGAATAATAAGATGTTCTACGTTCTGTAACTTACATTTCCATCAGAAGTTTTGTATATTCATAAAGTCAGTTCATCTTTGTATATCTATATGTAATGTAGATATGTAAATATATTCATACTATGTGCTACATATCTGAATTGAACCAGATAAAAAAGGCTCTGCGAGGAGTAAAGGTTGAGGTTACTCATCGAGGAAACATGCGTCGGAAATATCGCATCTCTGGTTTGACATCACAAACAACAAGGGAACTAACGTAAGACTTGAAGACACTACTTGTTTTGGATTTGATAAGTCAGATTATTATGAAACTATTTATTGTTCTTATATGGCACTTTCACATATCTTTCTGAGACAGTAAATGTTATCTAATGGTTGAGCTTCATATCTGGTTTTTGTTACTTTTTTGAAATTTGTCAGCTATGGTTTATCTTTATTAGTTCTCTTGTGGAAGTTTTGCTTTCTGTATTCTGTACTGCATTTGTAACTTGTCTATTACTGCCACAGTATTTTGCTTTCTTTAAACAATATGTTCGTGGGTGAGGGGCACATTGAAATCTGTTTTTTTAGTCTTATCATCTGAACTTGGGCTGCTTTTTGTTAGATTTCCTGTTGATGAAAGGGGCACATTGAAATCTGTTGTTGACTACTTCCGGGAAACCTATGGATACGTCATTCAACATTCTCAGTGGCCATGTCTGCAAGTTGGGAATACTCAGAAACCAAACTATTTGCCAATGGAGGTGTGCAAGATAGTCGCGGGTCAGAGGTACTCCAAGAGGTTAAATGAGAGGCAAATCACTGCACTCCTCAAAGTCACATGCCAACGTCCCCAACAGAGAGAGCATGACATATATGAGGTTTGGAAAATATATAATCTGCGGTTGTATATATGTTATAGTTTTTTTTACTGATTGTGATCAAGCATTTGTCTGCTTTGTATATATGTTAAAGCTTTTTTTACTGATTGTGATCAAGCATTTGTCTGCTTCCACTATGTTGCTAGTGTCATGCAAATTTTGTTTCATTTGTTTTACAACTGCTGGGTTGGGTTTTGTGGTTTATATTCATGTTTAACGATCTTTTTACATGCAATGAACTTTTTTCTTTCTTTTTTCAGACTGTAAGGCACAATGCCTATGCGTCAGACCCTTATGCCGAGGAGTTTGGGATCACAATTAGCGAAAATCTGGCCCAAGTTGAAGCTCGTGTTCTGCCCGCACCCAGGGTGCGCTGAATTGATCTCTGATCTTCCTGAACAATGTTTTCTTGGTGTCGTTCATAATACATGTTTCTCTTTGCAGCTCAAATACCATGATTCAGGTCGGGAGAAAGATTGTATGCCTCAAGTTGGGCAGTGGAATATGATGAACAAGGTGACTGCTGCCTCCATATTGCATCTATTTATTTGGCATGAACTACCACATGATTTGTTGCATATTTTATTGTTTGAAATCTCGAAAAGTCAAAATTGTTGGTTAAATTAGCTTACATAATGCAGAGAATGGTCAACGGTGGCATCGTAAACAATTGGATCTGTATTAACTTTGCTCGTAACATACAAGACAATGCTGCTGATAATTTTTCTTACGAGCTTGCTCAAATGTGCAATACGTCTGGCATGGTAAACTTTAATCTTCTATTGTTTTTCAGTTATTAGTGTTGCACCTTCTCCTTTTATATTGTAATTTTTCCTTGCAGGCTTTCAATCCAGACCCTGTCTTACCAGTTTTGAGTGGCCGGCCTGATCAGGTAGAGAGAGTTCTGAAAGCCAGATTTCACGAGGTCATGACTAAACTGCGGCCCCAGGGGAAGGAACTTGATCTGCTTATTGTTGTTTTACCCGACAATAATGGTTCTCTTTATGGTGAGAGAATACAGGATCATCTCTAAACTTGTGAAATTTCTTAGGAGAACTGTGTTGGTAGGTGTAGATTTCCATTCTTTTGTTAGTAACATATATTATTTCCTTAAAACAGGTGATCTGAAACGTATATGTGAAACGGATCTTGGAATTGTCTCCCAGTGCTGTCTTTCCAAACATGTTTATCGTATGAGCAAACAATATCTTGCCAATGTGGCTCTGAAGATTAATGTGAAGGTTGGAGGGAGGAATACTGTTCTGGTTGATGCAATATCTAGGCGTATACCATTTGTTAGCGATCGTCCCACCATCATTTTTGGTGCTGATGTCACTCATCCTCACCCTGGCGAGGATTCTAGCCCATCTATAGCTGCCGTATGATGTGTTCCCTATGTTTATTTCCGCATTCTTGTTTTTCACTTGAAGTTCTTACTCTGACTGCTTTTTTTTTTTTTCCGCAGGTTGTTGCTTCTCAGGATTGGCCAGAAATTACCAAGTATGCAGGCTTGGTTTCTGCACAAGCCCATAGGCAAGAGCTTATCCAAGATTTGTACAGAACTTGGCAGGATCCTGTGAAGGGGACCATGCATGGTGGCATGATCATGTACTATTTTCTCAAATTTTCGAACATTAAGCTTTCTTTCAATTATTTTCCCCTTTATTGTATTGACCATGTCTTATTTATGGTTGTGGTACAATGTCTCTATCCAGGGAACTACTTATTTCTTTTCGCCGGGCAACTGGGCAGAAACCCCAGAGGATTATTTTCTATAGGTGATAATATCTAGCACTGTTATGCAGTCATTTTTTCTCTTGTTCTTTTGTATCTGACATATATCCCTGTTTTTTGCAGAGATGGTGTTAGCGAAGGTCAATTTTATCAAGTTTTGCTGTTTGAACTTGACGCTATACGAAGGGTAAATCTGGAATTTCAGGCATTTGTTGTGAAGTAAAGATTATGGAAGTGGTGAAGTACTTGCTTTCGATTCTTATTCCTGTAAAACTGCCTTTTTTTTTTTTCGATCATGTAGGCATGCGCAGCGTTGGAGCCAAACTACCAGCCAACGGTTACATTTGTTGTGGTTCAAAAACGCCACCATACTAGGCTGTTTGCAAACAACCACAATGACAAACGTTCGGTTGATCGAAGTGGAAATATTCTCCCTGGTATGTTTGTGTTCTAACTTGATTCCTTCTGGATTTTCTTGCATTATAGATTTATTAATTAGTCACTGATTTATCTTTCGTAACGTGTACAGGCACTGTTGTGGATTCCAAAATCTGCCATCCCACTGAGTTTGACTTCTATCTTTGTAGCCATGCTGGGATACAGGTACCCTATCATATAAAATTTGAGTCCGGTGATTTATTTATTTCTTTTTTTACGCGCGGCCATTTATTGTTGTTCACATTTGTTCGAATCTGATCACAGGGAACTAGCCGCCCAGCTCACTACCATGTGCTGTGGGATGAAAACAAATTCTCAGCAGATGCACTTCAGAGTCTAACTAATAACCTTTGCTACACGTGAGTTCTCTTGAATTTTTTGCCCTTTTAGTATATGAATTGTTGCTAATTTCAGTTCGTTTCCTTTTTGCAGATATGCTAGGTGCACTCGCTCGGTTTCTATTGGTATGTCTTTTGAATTTTTGATAATGTACATGAATATTTTCTCTCGATGATTGACAACTCATCTGTTTTCTTTAATTGTCCCGTTTATATGGCAGTTCCGCCCGCTTATTATGCTCATCTGGCGGCTTTTCGTGCTCGTTTTTATCTCGAACCCGAGACTTCTGATAGTGGCTCGATGGCGAGTGGTGCCGGTAGAGGTGGCCGGAGTACGAGGCAACCGGGGGGTAATGCTGCTGCTGTGAGACCCCTTCCACAGTTAAGGGAGAATGTGAAGAGGGTAATGTTCTACTGTTGAAGATGACCACTGCACTGTTTTGAACTAATTAATACATTATTATTCCCGGTTTGTTCATTTTATTTTGCTAGCGGCTTTTACCGTAACTTGAAAAAAATATTATGTTTCCTTGGCCACGCACGGCTACTTGGACCTATGTTATTATTATTATTATTATTATTATATTATTA